ATATATATATATATATATATATATATATATATTTGTCTGTAATAACAATATAACAATCTACCAACTAACCAATCTTTATACTTAAACATTTTAGCAAAATACTTAACCTTCTTACATCTTAGATAAACTTCATGAGATTATGATTGTAAATCCAATGCCTAATCAATTCAGTTTAATTTTTAATTTAAATTTAAATTATATTTCCAGAATTATATTTTAACTTAAATTATATTTTTCAGCATATTTCCCAGTCATACAGCAGGTTTGGTTAAAGCAGTTAAACATGATCATTTGGCTAGCCCAACGCGTATTTCACCAATATTATTACAACAAAACTCTCGACGGTTCACACCATATTAATTTAATTTCATCCATTGTATCTTTTAGTGGAGCTAATAATTTGAAACATTTCACCTAATTATGTGCTGCACTGATTAAATGAAATCTGAATTCCATGAAATTTAATGTTTTAAAAGTGAAATTCCATTTCTTCACATTAACATTTCATTATGTGAGCTACCATTGAGATTATTTAACCAGATTACCAGATTACCTAGGCAGAAGATGTAAAAGTTATTAATTTAATGAAATAAAGCAATAGTTTAAATGAATGTGAAAATTCGAAGACTCAAATTCTATTCAATAAATGGCAAAGCTAATAGCTTACAATTACTTGGTTACACTTTGCACATCGCTTCTAGAATTGATGTGAATAAAAATATTGTCGATTTCATATAACAGATTCTTTCACATGGAAACAATTTCAAATCATGAATGTGCATTACAATCGGCAATTTGCTATCGATTATAATTTAAAAATTATTATGTGAATTCATTTTGAAAAGTAACTGAAGCATCCGAACCAAAATTAATCATGGTGAATTCTGACAGAGATATCAACAGTTTATCGCCTTTCCCGACAGCTGCTTTTTAAAGTTCACTTTTACTTACCGTGTCTTTAAATTTTGAGGTACCCTGAACCTTTCTTTTGAAAATTTCATATAAAATGTAAAGTAACGAGGAAAAAAAATTATTTATTAATCTTACAATATCTACTTACTGGCTCTTACAAGGGAGATTTTTCCTTTTTTTTTGAAGTTACGATAGATAAGGGAAAAAAGAATTCACTAAAACAGATGACTTCAAAAATGAATATCACACTGTTAACTTCCTCTTTAGAAATAAACCCTGATTTTGAGTCTTTGAAATCATTTATGTCTTGAAATTACGCTAGAACTGAAATACCTTTTTGATACTCCCTTTATTTGGAATTCAAAAGCTCAGATTTGAAAATTTATCCAGCTAAAGAAATAGCAATTTTAAAAATGCTACTTTCATGAGCAATCGCTATATTACAATATTTCAAACATATAAAAGTTGGGTGGTTACGGCGATAGATTCTTTGTACGTAGGGATTATGAAAACTTCATTAAGTGTAAGACCAAAATATGCCCGTGATGAAAATTAAAATCGAAATGAAATGGTATCATAAATGAGAATTTTGAAAATCAACATATACATACAGAAAGCTTACTATGCTAGTACTGTGTTGCTATAGGTACGACAATCAATTTTATCATCATCAGCTGTTATTCCAAATGTTGTCAACCATTCGCATAACTTCGGTTCTTCCATACCCAACCTCGATGCTAATATTTTTACACTTATTGTAGGACGAAATCTGCAAATCAAACATAAATTTGGATTTTGGCTTCGTAGGATTTAAACAACTTTAAGGATAAATCAAAGTTTCCTGTTGTTTCTACAATGGAAGAAGCAAAATAATACGGTTCATTTTTATCGGATAAAACGACCTTAAAAAAATACCATAGAAAAAGAAAATTTTATAAAGCCTATAAAAAAGACGACGTATAAAATAAACAGCGTTTTTTTGAACAACTATAATAAAAGACAGACTTGCTTTTTCTAATATCGGTGGTTGTAAGCAAAAGAAAGAAATCATGTCCTAAAGCCAAATTTGTCATAAAACTACAGAATGTTCACTGATAAGACAAATTCAACCTACGATTTTAGGCAAGCATTTAATGCAGCCTTCCGTTCTCGCTCCAAAAATAAATCCATTACATATGATGCCATCCTCGGGGCTTCCTGATATAGTCGGAAAAGTTTCACATAATTTCCAAGAGCCCAAGCTTCACGAGTTCTCAATGAAAATGAAAGACAGGGGTCCTTCCGCGCTTTCTCATCTAATTCACTGAGTAGGGTAGTTTGATCTGAAAGATCGAATAAATCGATGGGCGTTCTTTTTTTTTGTTTCTTTTTTTCGCTTTTTTTTATTTTTCTTTTGGTTTTGTCTCTTGGAATGCAAAATTTTAACTGAAAATGTCACTTGTATTGAACATTTGACCACTTGCCAACCTATCGTTGTATCTGAGTACGTATTCTCCTTCATGGGCAACATACCTAATATTTACAGATAAAAATAAATCATACCTATAGTATTTGCAACTGATATGTAATAAAGTAATCGATAAGAGGTAAATTCATGGCGATTTGGAGAATCAGGTAATTCTTTATATAATAATTTCAACTGGCTCTGACATTGGTTAAATTCTTCACGATCACCCTGCTCCAGTGCAATCCGTGCATTTGTCTCGTAAACATTTACAGTAAAGTCGGTTCTTATACACTGGATCTAAACATTTGCCATAATTAATAATGTTCTCAACCTTTGAATTACCGTCTAAATGATCTGGTCACAAAGTTCAACACAACAATCAGTAATAGCATTAAGATATGAGCAACATGGCCTGGAGTGGCTGACCCACTATGCACACATAAAATCTCCATTTAGCTTGCTCCTTGACCAGTTTGTCTTCTGGATTTTTTCTCTTCTTTCTTTTTCTGGATTTTGAAGAACTCAAATGCCCTTTTTGCCTTTTCGAAAAGCGAAAAATGCCCACTTTCTATAATGTCTTTATCATTTAGACTAACAGAAACTGAGTAAGGTCCAAGAACAAAGCAAGAAACTATTTTAGAAGAAAAAAAAGAAGAAAAAATTGCCAAATACTCTATACTCTCGGAACACATCTTGCTTGTTCCGAGAGTAAAGAATATCTGCAGTTTCTGGCAGAGTGAAGTAAATTACCATCAAATCTTGACGAATACTTCTCAGCTGATCATTTGCGTAAGTATAATCTCGATTAGTTGCATATTTCTGCTGCACCAACTTCAGTGCTTTTTCCAATACTTTCAGTGGTCTCACTGTGCTTGGTTCTGGAGCCTAAAAAAGAAGTGTATGATGAAAGGAACTGTGTAAAAAATAGCTGCATTTATATGATATATATGTATGTATGCATATATTTGTCGTAGAATAAACTATTAAGAAGGGTTTAACGAAAGAGAGACTTCCACAGACCTTTCGATCTAAAGAACTTAAGAATGAAAAACTAACCGAAGTAAGGCGGAAATAAGATTTTTCGATATCCATACATGTCCCAACAACCTTATCACTGGTGCCCTGTTCTCCCTCTCGATCAATATACCAATCTAGACGACGTCGCATTTCCATGAATTTTACTCGTCGTGCTTCATCATCTCGAGCAAAACGTTTAGCACGTTCTTCACGCTGCGCGTTACTTCGTTCATCAGCAGCCCATCGTCCAGACTTTCCGTTATTCTTCTTTTGTTTCTTCTTCTTTTTCTGGGCAGCGGTTTGTTTGAACTAAGGTCATTGTATTGAAGAAGAAAAGAAATGCCTTATGTTTTTATTGAATAAAATACTATATATCTTTTACTCTGCAGTACTTATAGAGTAAAAGCGTATACAGCATTCAATACTTTTACTCCATATAAGATACCTTCCTTCTTTTCCCAATTTTTTGAGATTTAAAATCTCATGTCCATCAAATTTAACTGTGTAAAAAAAAATTTTGCGCAAAGAACTTCTCACTAATTATTACGAAAACATTTCTTTCCCCCAAGAAAGTAAAACGTACTTTTGGCTGTTCATCAACCGAATTATCTTCATCAGATGGAAGACGAACACGAGGGCTAAACGGTACCCGTCTTTTAGACTGTTCACGAAATGGAGGAGATCGTGAATTCCTTCGGTGACTCATCTCATGTTTCGACTTTTTCGGCGACCGTTTCTCCATTTCTGCGGTTGTATTTAAACCTTTTTTCAGCTGACTAGCTGGCGTCCAACCCATTTTAAGCTCAAAATTCACTTCGGAAGGCAATGGCTCCTAGAATAGACAAACTGTGGAAGGAATTTAAAAAGAAGATAATCTTAAAAAAGTTGTTACTAAAACATGACTTTGCACTTCTTATTGCCCAAAACATCATTTCCAGAAAAAAAAATCCCAAAACAATTAAATCTTAAAAAGTTGTTACTGAAACATGATTCTGCACTCCTTATTACCCAAAATATTATTTCCAAAAAAAATATCACTCCCAAAACAATTACCACAATAACTGTTTATTGGTTAAAGGCAGAAAACGAGAAAAAAGTGAGCAATCTAAATTGCCAAGAGTTTATTTACTGAGTAAATTAAGTACTAAATCATTCTGTCCATACTATGTCCATGCACAAACAACATTAACTTTGAAAGATATGCAGACCTCAATAACTGTAATTTCGTTTGATTTTCAGCATTATCACTAAAGATTACTATAGAAAACTAGCGAAGATTTCAAACGTTAACTTTGAAAAAAGAATTAACAAAATGAAAAAAGAAAAAGAAAAACTCAAACTTACACGATCCCAATCAACCGCTTTGTATGCACCGGATATTAATAGGGGATTTAGTTTTTGTTTGAAATATTCTTCTAACTTGTCACGATCTTCCTTCTTTTCCACTGCCAAATATGAACGTTCCACATACCTCCTAAAAACATGCTTTTTGAGTAAGGAACTGATTGCTAAAGCACTTTAGATGAGCAATTATATCTCGACGAGGTATCGATATCTCACGCCACAAAGCGGTACTGAAATTTTTGTCAATTTTTTCAAGAATCAATTATTGTTTCGGAAAGATTTCTGTTCCCAACAGAAGAAAATTGAACAACTTATTGCTATTCCAATCTCGCTCTTCTTTAGTTAAATGACTAATAGCTTTGATTGAAAGAAGAGATTAGATAGTTTGCACTCGATAAGTTACTTGCATAAGCAAAACAACGAAAGAAAAGGACAAAAAAAGACTTACTTAACGGGATCTGGTATACTTGGCGATTCTAGTTCAAATGATTGAGAATTCTGATGAAAAACTGGTGCAGTATTAAGTCCTCGTGGACGATTAATTGAAAAACGTATAGGATGCTGTGGTACACTGTTATTTCGGCCGTATTCGCCTCCTCCTGATGCTGTTACTGGTGCTGATCTGTTTCCGTTAAATCCGAATTGCCGTGGTCTAGGAGCAACGTTTGACGATGCCCATGGGTTCATGAAATCTGGATGATAACTTCCATTTGATGATGGTAAATGAGTGCCTGATGGAGTAAAACCATAATGTACTCCTATATAAGACGAATTTTCCTGTGTTATACCATAGGTTTGGGGAGGTGGAGGTGGTGGAAACGATGAAGACAGCGATGACGATGATGACGATGGTGGCGGTGGTGGTGGCGGTAGTGGTAAACGAGGTATAAATGGTGACATTCCAAGAGCATGTTGTTCCATCCATGGATAATAGTGCAATATTTGAGACCGTGTGTCGGGTTGAGGTTGAGAATGATATGATGTCATGGATGAAATGTTCGAAGAGGTGGAAGTGGCTGAAACGTTAACCTTTTTCAAGGCTTCTTGTGCTTTTTCCCAAGCTGCCGTTTGATCATCTCGTGGTGTTGGCACTTCGACATTAGCATTTTGAGGTGGCATCGGTATTCCGGCAATACAACTGTTATCCGATTCAGGTATCCAAGCATATCTGAAATAAATTGTCGAAATATTTCCACATATTTTTCATCAGTCAAATCCTAGGGTAATATGATACTTATCACACATAACTTTTCTTATAAAAACTCAAATGAATCTCTTCAATAAACATATTTTTAAATAGGGAAAGAAATCAAGCGCTTCAAATTACTTTAGCACTCCTTTTATAAAATCTGCATTTAGTCCAATACTACACATAATTACCACCAAGTAACCATTGGATTATTAATCTCATAGTAATTACGTTGATATGATAGCTATACTACCCTGACTTTCAAATCCCATTAATATCTGATAGAATCCTAATGCTAGTCGAGAATTTACTCAAAAAATATCAGGATGTAAATAAGCACAGATGGTGGGTATATTCTGTTATCATTTATCAATACTTTTTCAGGAAATAATCTGAAATATATTTGCAATCTTCGCAAAATCTCAAGCCATTTTAATGATCATAACTATACCAAACATTCCCATTAAATCCTATGATGGTAAATCAGAATATGGTGAAAATGAGAGGATTACAGGAGGAGAATATGATCAAATTGCATATTTATCATTTATCACCAATTATCTCTTCTTCCTTATTATTCATCTTGTTATATATGTTATTTCGAATTTCACTTTTATTAACTCTTTTTCCCTATTTTTCTTCTCTTAAGATTTTAATAAAATATATGATCTGTTAGCAAAAATGATGAATGGAATTTTATATTACATAAGAAAATGGAAATTAAACAATTACTTACATTCCAGACGAACTGTTACCCGACGCTGATGATTTTGATGGTAACGATGTCATTGAAAGGGTCAAATTTGTTAAGTTACCACTCTGCCTGTCTTAACTATTTAGCTGAAAATTCTATATTCGAACGATTTAACTTACCATAGAATCCTACACCCCTCCTAATAAAACAATTAGCCAAGAATTAGCCAACTGATAATAACAGTTCGATCATGCATGATTTAACGGACCACATTTCAATCAACAGAATTGTTTAGTCAAGAATTTTGTTGGTTTGATATAGCAAATTAATTAATATTCTGGTTTCTTAGCGAATATTAGAGAGAGGAGTGATATATGTTGCGGAGTGATACAGAGAATGATAAAATAAGGAAATATATGTTGCAGAGATTGAGAATAAGGTGAAATAGAAGGGAGAATAGGCAGACGATAAGAGATTGGAAGAAATTTGGTGGTAGTATAATTGTAATCAATCGTAAGGTTATATAATTAACAATGTATTGTAATTACTACGAATAATTAGGTTGTGGTGGATACTGTAACGGAAGATACGATAAATTGTTGATAAGAATTCCTAGGAATTATATACATTTATAGTTTTCATAGATTACAAGAATTTGTGTTAGATATTTATTGGCGATAATTGTTGCAAATGATAAAGAATACAACCATAAGTAAAGCAGAGGAAATTGGTTGAATTGATTTGTTAGAATGTTAAAGTTATAGATGAGTTAAATTGCAACTTTTTCTCTTCGTGCTTTCTGTTAAGGTTATAGATGAATCAAGTTACAATTTTCTCTCTTCCTACTTTTAATCAGTTTTTTAATTCAACCATCGGATTTAATTTAATCATTTAGTTATCATTTATCATTGTACCATTTAGTAGCATTTACTGAAATGATCGGTCTAGTAATACAGAGGAGAGTATTAAAGGTGACTATGATTGTTTACGTTTTTGAAAATCGAAAATATCATCTCTTCGTCTTTTTTCCTTCCTCATTTTCTGCAGTGTTCTAATTTTTTTAGGATGCCATATGCTAATCAACCTCATGTTGCAATCACTGCGTTAAATGATGAAATTGTGCGATTTGTTTTGGAGGACACTGATTTAAGCGTTGCCAATTCATTACGACGAATTTTCATGGCTGAAGTGCCAACTATGGGTAAATTTCAATAATTTGAGTTCATTCTGGAAAATGAAAATCCTTTTAACATATCGGTTCGTGATACATAAGGTAATATGCTTTGATATATTTGATGACTAATAGAGATAGGGTATTGAAAAAATTTGTACTTTTTTTTAATATTCATGATGACAAATCAGGTATGAGCCACTTACTTGTAGTTATTTGCAATTAATCCATGCTTTGTTTTCTTCTGTAGTTTAAATTTCTTTTTGAAGTATGCTTGCAGCAATTGACTGGGTGCAAATTGAATCAAATACAAGTGTCTTACACGATGAATTCATTGCTCATCGTCTTGGTTTAATACCTCTAACATCAGATTCGGTCGTAGATCAGATGCAATTTTCACGGGTTTGTGCTGTTTAGATGTTCGCTTGCATGGACCACGTACATTAATGAAGCACTTAAAGCAATGAGGCAATAACGGCTTTTTGATCATGTTAGAGTATAATGCTATATCGTTTATATCTTTCGAGGCAATTCTCATCGTTGTGTTTAGGCCATTTCGTTTATAGGATTGTCAATGTACAGAATTTTGTCAGTTTTGTGCAGTGGAAATGCGGCTTCGTGTACGTTGTGACGATGAGGGAATAAGGGCAGTGACAACAGCTGATCTTGAAACTAGTAATCCAGATGTAGCTCCTGCATGTGGCGTACATATACGTAATCGTAATGCCGAAGAAAGTGCCAGTGATGATATTCTCATTGTTAAGTTGAGGAAAGGCCAGGATGTTGATATTAAATGCATTGCCAAAAAAGTAAACTATTGTTTAGTTACTGTTGAATTGGGCTACATTTAACTGTAAATATTTTACATTGTAACCTTTTATATTTCCATATTTACAATGTTATCAGAATATAGTTTTGTCACCGTATATGTGTGAAACTTTTTAGATCTCAATAATTAACGGGTATTTCACGTGTGGAGAAATTACTTTCTCAAAGAAATCCATTAGGACCTTCATTTTGAGATATCAACCAAGATTTGAAAATTGATTTGAGTAAAAACTAAAATCAATTTAAAAAATAGGATTTATCTAAAATTTGTTATTCGATATTTGGTTCTGAAATCTCTTAATTTATCGGTTTTGAAATGTACATTATTCAGAACTTAATGTTACTTAGGGATTTACAGTAGTCGTGCTCTTATAGGGATTTGGCAAGGAACACGCGAAATGGAATCCAACATGTTGCGTATCATTTGAATATGATCCTGATAATGCGCTCAGGCATACGGTGTTAGCGAAACCAGAAGAATGGCCGAAAAGTGAATATTCTCAACTAGAAGATGATGAGTATGAAGCGTCTTTCGATCCGATGGCTAAACCAAACAAATTCTGGTTTACAGTTGAATCTACTGGAGCTTTAAAGGTAAGATTCTTTGTCACGTTTTTTTTTCGTTTCCTGAATGTACTAGAAGATTCGAACCAAACAAGATTTTGAGCTTTGAAGATCTCGAATTCCAAACATTGCCATACGGGTTTCATTGGTTTCACGATTTTATCTTAATTAAACTTTTTTTTTCAGAAAGGATCTCTAGGTCACATTTTTTTTTATTCAAAATAATGTATTCAGTTAAATGTTAATATTTCAGGCAGAAAATATTATTTTAAGCGGTATTTCTGTTTTGAAAAAGAAATTGGCTGACTTACAAAATCAATTGCAAAGAGAGTTATTGCAACAAGGACATGTTTATCATTGATTCAGGCATATTTGCGCTAGCATGTTACTTTATTTTTTGAGGAAAGTTCACAAGTCGAGATCTTGTTTCGATGAAACATTGGTCAATGTGGATTTGTTTTTTGTTGTTTGAGTATTCCGTGTGAAATTCGACAACGTTTGTTCTATAAATTATTCACCTACCATTTCAGTATTAAACAAAATTCCTTTGAGTTTGCAATAATGTGCTTTGTCCATATTGAAAAAGGAAAAATAATTGTGGTGTGAAATTCATTCATGATTTTTTTTATAGAAAAAGGAAAGTGATCCTGTCACTGATTTATGGTGCCGATGGTATACAATAAACTTTGTAGTTTTTTCTATTTCTTATTCTAAATTTCGCTGGGATTTCAAAATGCCATTTACATACGCATCAAATGTTTTGAGGCGGAAATTGCTCTATCTGACCATCGCAGTTATTGCTCGGAACTCATGTGAGAATGGATATGATATTGAAATGAAAAGGAAATGATAGCTTGCCATAGATAAAGATTAGTGTTTTTTTTTCTTTTCCTTTTCAATATCAGCGTTATAATTATTAAACTACCTATTCATATACACTGTTTTTTTTTTGTTACCTTGAAATGGTATAACTTTGTTTTCGTTTTTTCTTCCTTTTCAAGAACATGAGGCAATGAAAAAAAAGAGAGGAAAAAAGCGAAAACGAAGGAAATATCGTAATAATTATAACGTTGCAATGTAAAATTTTATCTTTTTTATATCCCTTTTATTTCCATACCTTCAATGCCATAAATTATATATTGGTTTCCATCGTCATTTGTTACAAGTTCTTGTTACTTCCTTGAAAATTTTTCCTTTTATTTGATTTTTTTTTACCGTGATTTTCATGTATTCCTTTGAAAAAAACTTATATTAAAGCTGGTTTTAGATGTTGGTCATGCGGAAACGTCACCCAAAATTGTATTTTTTTTTTTTCGGATTCATGAAAAAAAGAAATATTTGCTTGGAAAAAGAAAGATTAGAAGAGACAAGGAATCGATATGTTCATGCATGAGTAGGATGGAATAAAGGAAAAGATATGAAACAAGAAGAAAATAGGGTAAGGCGGGAATTTTTGTCATACGAAGAATTGTCATTGTAATTTATCTTCCATAGATACTTAACTTTTTGAGTAAAAATGATTCTCATTTGATAAATGTGAAGAATATGTTTTCCTTTAAGTAGCAGGAGGAATTTTAGAAATTACAAAATATCTTGAATGTATTATCTGAAATTGGATTCTTTTTTTTGGATGAAAGGGTTTTCTTCGAATTCCAACCAAATAAACGGCATTTTAGAAGTTTCTGTTCCATGTAAAAAAAAAAACGGAAAAGAGTAAGAAAACAAAAGTCGTGATTTGACAGTTTGGTGTGCACATGGTTTTGATTTCGAAGCTTTCGAATTGTTCAGAGTTTTACCTTTTGTATTGTAAAAGTGATACTCATGAAGTTTGAATTTACTCTCTTTTTGAGATTACGAATATTAATTTAATTATCACAAGAGATCATTGTTCCTAACACTCATTATGTAATTAATATAAATTTTTTTAATTTCAAAAATTAAGAGAGGTCAATGAACATAAAAAAGATCAAATTTTTAAACTCGGTTTAAGATTGTATTGTGACTTTCCATTATCATTCCCTTCTCTGTGGCCTTCTCTATTTTTGCTTCTTTATTTATCTTTCTTTTAACCTTCACTGATCATTTTGAGAAATAAGAGAGAGAATGAAGGAAAATGAAAAAAAAAATCAGAAATAGTTCACTTTTTCAAAACTTAACCTCAAAAAAAATTTTCGTAAATGTCAACCGATCATGATGTCAACCTTTCGCGTCCATTTCTTCCTTTTCCCTTCCTTTTCATCCCTTCTTCTATCCTTTTTCCCAACGATTATCCCAATATTACATTTCTTTGATTACCACAAAGACAATCACTTCTGTTTTCATTTGACCCCAAATAATAAATTCATTAACGAAGAAATTGATTGTAACCTTGGTTACATTAAATGTGACAATTATTCATTCATAGACGCTATGGAATGAGATGATTAAATTTTCCTTTTAAAGACAAAAATTTGAATATAATTAAGATTATATCGAATCAATCAATTTTTGCTATAATTACAATGAAAAAAGTAATTGTTTCACTGTAATTCATCCCGATATTATCCTGTAAAATTTGTTGCAAATAATTAATTATCAGAACACAATAATAATAACAATTAAGTAATGACAAATTAATTTTTCAAATAATTAGTAACAAACGACAACGATGATAATAATTGGGTAAATGTATAACAATGCATAAGT